TTTTTTATGTCATCTGCACTCTCTCCTGTTTCTTCATTGACTCTGATCAGTCTAATGTTATTCTTCTTTTCATAGTCTAGCAGCTGCTGGATTGATTTCTCATGGTCCCTTACTATTTTAAAGAATTTTTTCTTTTCCTGTTCACTAATTGCAATCTTATCTTCTGTATCTGAAATTCTGTCCTCATATTGTTTCATTCTGCTGCATAAACTTTCAGTGGAGTTTTTGATCTCCTGGAATTCTATTTGCGTCTGTTTTATGGATTCCATTTGTTTCCTGTGTTGGGATTCCATCATGTTCCTCAGCTCCTCTATTTTTTAATCTGTGTCCTCTCTAGATTTATTAATCATGTCTTGCACTATGGGCACAATCTCTGCTGTTATCTGAGAAATTATTTCTGATTTCATTTTTTCCAGATCCTCTTTTGTTGCCAGTTGAGGGAGTCCCTGTGGTTGAGTATCAGATTGTTCCTTCTCGTTTCCCTTTGGGGTTGCTTTAGGTGATATGGTAGTCTTGTTTTGAGACTTCTTTACATGTCTTCTCATTTCAACGTGGTGGGGGGAGGGGTCTGTGCTGCTGGCCCCCCTCCTTGACACTGGGAGTGGTATGGCGGCCTGGAAGATTCACCTCCTAAGCTCCGGGGGCAGCTCTGCTCCTCACCTGTATTTCTTAATTACTAGAGAAAATTGTGATTTTTTTTTTCCATAAACTTACTATTTTTACTTCTTCCCATTTTTCATTTTTTTGCTTTTAGTAAATTTCCTATAGAAATTTAGTAAGTTTTCCTTCTCCTTTTTAAAATGATATTTACATATTAAAGTATTAGCTATTTTCTGGAATATGTATTTCAAACATTTTTTTTTTCTAGCTTGTGTTTACCATCTAATTTTCTTAGGGACATATAGAAATTTTTAAATGTTTTCTTTCTATTCTATGAAAAAATAAACAGATTTTCACAGTCACATAATAAGAGCATAACAGTAGTTATTACACTGTGTATTGTAATCTGCATAGTAGTTACTCAGGATAAGACATAAACCAAAAAGATTCTTACAAAAAAAGAGATAACACAAACTTTCTTTTCAGTGAACTAAGATAAACTATTACTACAAGTGAAACAAATTGACATATATATAGAAATATTTTTAAAACATCATGTTACAGGGTTACATGCACACCCATGTTTATAGCAGTACAATTTAATATACTTTAAAATCCAGATTTTTTGAGAAACTTTTCTTTCCAATTGCTTTTTTGTTTAGAATCTGTTTGGCTCCAAATAATGTTTATATCCCCTTGTAGATTTGCAACTTTAAAATTATATTTTGTATTTAGAATTTTTATTTGACAGTTTATTTTTAGCTTATTATGTGAAATAAGGATTTACCTTTATTTTTCTCCATATAATGGCTAATTTTTTTCTCACAACCTTCGTGGAAAACAATCTTTTCTGGTTATCTAAAGTATCTATATTGTTATATATGACACATTTTAGTGGTACAGAGGAGTGGATTCAGGGCCTTCTCACTGACCTCATCTCCAGCCCTTTAAATTAATTAACTAACTAACTAATTAATTAACTTTTTGAGACAGGGTCTCATTAAGTTGGCCAGGCTGGACTCAAAGTCACTGTCCTCTTGCCACAGGATCCCATGCCACTGAGATTACAGGGGCTCCCCCAGCACCAGCTCCACGATCCTCTCATCCATCTTCTACTGTTTCTTCAACTTGAATAGGAGCCATAGTAGATTCCCCTCCCATTTCATACAGCTTAGAATGAGTTTCTAGATATTTTCTTTGTAATTATCCCTTCCAAATATTTTTAGAAAAACAAACACCTAATATAATTTTGGATTTTGAGTTTATGAAATATGTTGCATTCTGAGCCAGTATATCCTTTAGGCTGAATGATCCCGTGAAAGCCACAAGCCTCATCTGTCCAAATATGAAGAAGCCATAAGCAAAATTTGTAGGACAAGTGGTAAATGACGTTTGCTAGTTTTTATGGAGTCCATACAAAAATGGCTTATAAAATTAAGAAGTTATAATAATAAACATCCCAAACACAAAAGTGTGCTGTTATGAACTTATGTTTTATTATTAAGTAATTTGTAATTTAATGTATTTGTCTGTTTTTATCTAGGAATGGTAATTTTTTTATTTGATAATGTACAATCAATATTTTAACCAATATGTTAACCAATTATCTTCAATAATAATAGTCAATTCAAATCTGTCAGACTAGAAAAACTGTTAATATTTAGTATTTGGAATTTTATATCTGTAGCTTAGCCTGATATTTGCATATGAAACGCCAATGCCACAATTTGCATAGAAAATAAAGATCTCAACTCATTTTTATAGCACATATCGTATACTTTACTACCACTAGGTGGCAGCAAAACAATAGACTTTTGCATTCAAATTTCATAGTTTCATTTTATGTGATTTAATTTTATATTATAAGGTATTTTACTAGGATACCTAGAATTATACTTAAAATCTCACCCACATACCTTATAATTAATTTGAAATCCAAATATTATAGAGATACATTTCAGTATAAAACATAAAATATGATTTCTTAGAAAAACATTTAGTCAACCCTGTATTCATTCACTTTTGTGATTCAGTATTGAAACGTGCAGAAGTTGATCGTGCTGGCAAATAAATGGTAAAAATTGGTAATGATATTGCATAAACCACATTCCTCTGAGTTTCTTCAGAAATAGTTATGCTTTTTCAGAAGAAAATAATATTTTGAATTAAAGGGCAACTTTATTGTGTTAAATACTGGAAATGTAGTTAGCATAAATGAATAATATTTGAAAAAGACATAAGCCTTAGGTGAAATTAATTTAAACTACAGCATTTCTCAAATATAAAGTCTTTGGCATTTTACAAATTATGTTAGAATTCTAATCTCATTTTAAGCTTGGTGAACTGCTTATATTTTCCAAAATGTATATTCATTAAAAAAATATATATATATATATTACACATACACTTTGGAAATAAGGAAGCACAGAAATTGAAATGTACATGAATTGCTTACTATTAAATTAACTGGTCAAATTATTTCTTTTCAAGGCTGGGGTGGCAAATGTAAAGAAAGGCATGATCCAAGTGGAAGAATACCCTTCCTGTCCTAGTTCAAACCGAGGTCTAGATGAATGAAAATTTCTGAGTTTTAAAGCAAGGCCCCTCCATGGTCATGGGGATGACTAAAAGCCCATCTTATATGCTATGTGCAGAATGTCAGCTTTGCAAGATATTTAAGTGGTACATGCCTCTATCTTTTAAAAGATGTAGAGAGCTAGGGGCATGGAATGTGTGTTAGGCTCTAGGTTCAATCCCTAGCACCAAAACAAACAAATAAAAAAAATACAAAACATAGAAAAACAAAACACAACGTTGGAACAGCTAAGTTATATCTAGCATCGCGCCAAAGAGTATTGCCAAATCCTGCAAAGGCTGAATGCCATATACAAATGAGTTTGGCAAGATAGTACTTCACAATGGAGACTTGGGCTCAACTGAAAAAAAAAAAAAGCTATTATGAGATTCGATGCACATTGACCCAACTACTACTCTATGGTTAAGGAATATGCTCTGTAGTCAGACTGTCCAATTTGGAAACCCATATTTTCTGTTATTCTGTGACTTTGGACAAGTTAATCTCTGAAAACCTCTGTCACCTGATGCATAAAATAAGAATAAAGTAACAGTAGTAACATTGTAGCTTAGGATTGATGCATCTAAGTCTTGTGGGGCCCATACCAAACATTCAGTAAATGAAAACTTGTCTTTGTTCAAATTCATTGTAATATTTATTGTAGTTTAGCTTCAATTCTTCCGAGATGTTACTTCACCTTTATTGAAAATTCAAAATGATGGAAAGAAGCCAACATTTGATTGCTGGTTCCTAAATAGTGAAATCATATGCTTTTTAATTGAATGTTTTTCCTTCGCCCAGGATACATCTTAGATTATCTTTATAGGAGCAATGAGAAAATAACCTGATGCAATCAAAATTTATCCCTATGTTAAGTGGATGTCAGATGTCTAGGTTTATTTTTATAAAAATAATACAGAAGAAAAGGAATCTACCAGAGGAGTCTGTGAGGGATAATCATAATTCCTTGGAAAGTAGGCACTGGAAGAAAAAATACTAGATACTTCTAAATGAATCTGGGATTATTGATACTGATTCCACTGATCTTGGATATTTTATTCTAACACCACTACTCAGGGTAGTGGGAAAGAATATCTTGTCTCTAGAATTTAATCTTTGAGTACATTGACTCACTCTCATAGTACATTGACTATAAAAATGTGTATGGCATCATGGTCACTCTTTCCTTGCAGAAAGAGCCCACTCCTCCTTTGTGAAGCTCATACATTCAGCATAAAATTGTTCTTCTCTTTAGGTGGAGTGGAATAAAATTCCCAGACATATTGAAGAGTACATACATTGGCTAACTGAACAATTATGCCATAGTTGATATGACAAGATTTCTGAAGTGTTAGCAATTGAAAATATGGGAAGAACTATCTAAAGGGACAATAAGAGACTTGTGGTCTCTTAGCTACAATATTATTTTTAAACTGTGCAGTGTATTTTTCCTAATTTTAACTAGATTTTACACTTATATTTGCTGGATAAATCAAAATTTTTCCTTCATTGAATTCTTTCCCTAAAATATTTCTTATAACTCATTGTTTGGCAACAAAAGCTCTTTAAAGTTTGTTTTTTAAGGGACGTTTTATACAGAATTGTTTTTTCTTTTTTCTTATATGAAAAAATACAACAAAATTTCATGACTAATAGAATAATAGTATGCAATCATTTAAAGGCTTTTATATGTTATAGAAAAATTTTTAGATTATGAAGATAGAATCAATCAATTTTAAATGCTAAATTATCAGATACTTTGATCTTATAATAAATAATGTAATTTTTTATTTTTTATATTTACTTCCTTTTTTTCATTTTGCAGAACTTGGAATCAATTTTGATCACATATGGCAAAAAACCTTGACGGTGTTAAACCCAATGAAGCCAGCAGATGGCAGCATTATGAATGAAATGGACCTCGCTGGGCCCGTCCTTTTTTGTGTAACCCTGGGAGCCACCCTGCTTCTGGTAACGTGCCGCATCAAACACTAGATTTTAAGCTTGTCCCTGACAGGGCCAGTTCTGAAGAGAACTTTGTAATTAAAGAAGAAATAAATAAAAAAAGATAAACGTGGCAGGAGAAATAATATAAGAAATTAAGATTCCAGGAAAAGCCCTTAAAATAGTGATTCACTTCTCTTCTTCCCCTTCCAGCTATCCCTTCCCCACAAAAACAATTTTTGCTAATATAGTTACAGTTTTCAAAAGTAGTCCAAAATATATTTGCAACTAAATAAACTTTCACTTTCTATTTGTTAATTTTTTAATACCAATCAAAATATTGATAGCATTGTAGTTTCTGTATGGTGCTATAGCCAATAATCACATTATATCTGCCTAGTACAACAGTTCAGTGGTAACAATAACAGTATAATGATAACATCTTATTTCTTTCTTTGTAATACAGCAAATGAAATATTATGTAAATCAAACACTATTAACTAGTGTTTTCATTTAGTCTATAACTTCTTTTCTTATGTCTTTGTCACAGTAATTTGATAATCTTGGATTAAGCTGCTAAGCCAATTAAATAGTCAGAAACAATTTAATATATAAATTCATCTTTCTTTTTCAAGTCACTTGTGATATAACAGCTGTTGTTTTTTTTTTTACTGTTACCATCCCTTAAAAGGTAGAATTAATCTCATTAAGATTTCTCTTGATGGGCCGGAGATTTGGCTCAGTGGTTCTGCCACTGCCTCGCAAGTGCAAGGTCCTGAGTTTGATCCCTGGTACCAAAAAAAAAAAATTTCTCTTGAATGTATAATGTTAGTTGGAGTTAGTTAAATATTCTCTTCTGTTTTAAATGCTAAGAAATATAGGCCAAAAACTTAACTACCACTACCTGTTATGTTGTGCTTTTTGTCTTCTATGCCTTCAATTTCTTTGTTTTCTCAAAGACAAGCTTATTTGAGTGACTCAAGTTGCTTTTAGTTGTGAAATTATGGAGGATATGTGAAAATATGTATTTTATGAATGTTTTTATGCAAGTATTATCACTTGCATTTTCCAATACATGTGATAACTTCAGAGTTGATTCTGCTACGTGTAAACCAATAACGATCCTCCTAAAACTCCAACTGGGTATTAACTGACATACAATTTAACTCAGAATTGATTCAATATTAGGTTAACTCTGCACTGGAATCTATAATTTCATGGGTATCAGGCATCATACTAGTGAAAGCAAAACTAAATCTAGAACCAATATCTAAATCTGTTCATTATGTTTGCAGATGGAAAGATTCATAATGACATACTCATCATTTTTGTGACTTATATTGACATAGGCACAATTCTAGTGACCTTTCTTTAGGTTGTAGGAAGCAAATCAAAGAAAACAACTTGAAGCACTTAACATAAATTTAGTTTTATTTCTTCTTTCTTTTCTTTGTTAGATTCTCATGACTGAGGTAAAATATCTGCGATATTCAGGTTAGCAAGAGACAAGGTTGATTTTTGGCTCACAGTTTCAGTTTTCAGACCATGGTACTTTGGCCCTGTTGTCTCTGGGCTTGTGGAGAGAAAATATACAATAGAGGGAACATGTTATGAGTAAAGCTGCTCACCTCATGGCAATCAGGAAGCAAGAGAGAGACAGGAAGTGTCCAGTGTCCCGATATTCCCTTTCAGGGCCTGACTCCCATGACCTATCTAATTTCCTCTCCCTGGGCCTCATCTCTTGAAAGTTCTACCACCTCCCAACAGAGCCACATGGTTTGGTGACCAAACCATTAAAACATGTGCCATTGGGGGATACTTATCCAAGCTACAGCACGTCTCAAGTCATTTTTATCCCCACATCAAGATAGCAAGTGGTTTAAGCTACTTCAGTTTAACTTTTCTGTCATGAGCCATATAAATGGTTAGAATATCCTGAAAAATTTTGAGCTTAATAAAATGAAACAATTATTTTCTGTTTCAAACTTTGTCATAATTTGAAACATTTTTTTAAATGGCAGTATCACTAATATGACTTGTAAATCTCCAAGACTAACTTAAATTTTTATTCCTTTATTGAATCATTCAATTATTCAACAAACATGGGGAGGAAAAATAATCTCTTTTATGCCTTGAAAACCTTATAATAAAAATCATATCCAGGACAGTATATCACCTTTTCTGTTGCATGCTTGCCCTGTCCTAAGTGTAGTCAGAAGGTTTGTTTTCAAGGTTGAAGTTCATATTATAGGCGGTGTCTTTACCAAAATCCTGTCTCCTAACGATGGTAGTAGGAAATAGTATTAAGCTGATTCTGAAATGATTTCTAGTTTGTTGTCATTCTGATTTCCTCCCCATATTTTCTGAGTTTTCAAACCATTTGCTTTGCTTTCTTTCAGGCAGGAAAAGTTCAGTTTGGTTACGTGTATGGCATGAGTGCCATTGGCTGCCTTGGGATTCATGCCTTGCTGAACTTGATGAGTGCTGCAGGAGTGTCATACGGTTGTGTGGCCAGTGTTCTGGGCTACTGCCTACTCCCCATGGTCATCCTGTCCAGCTGTGCCATCTTCTGTTCATTGCAGTAAGTGTCTGTGTGCAGTAACTGACCTCACATGTAGTCATCATAACAGCTTGCCAGACCAAGGCAAAAGTTGAGCTCTTTCTCATTATTTTGGCAAAAGAATGGGGAAATTATGTCTATTAAAAGCTACACATGGATTCAAAATATAGGTCAGTTTTGGCTTGGGTGCTATTCCTATTTCCATGATTTAAAAAATAAATTAAGCCAAGTAATGTTTAAAACTGGCACTTTTCTGGTGTCACATGCTTCGGCGTGAACTATTGTCATGGGTAATGTAAGAACTGCAAAAAGGCACTGATTTGATTTTGAAAGAGTAAATCCTATGGGGTATTGACAAATTGCTTCGGCTCCAGGGACTCTGCCTTCTAGGCTGGAAACAACTGTTCTGTCTTAGTTCAGCTCCTTGCAGTGTAGAATTCCCAGGAACCTTGCTGAGTAGATTAATACTAGAGAACTTTGTAATATATATGCTCATTCAATGCATTTAAAATTTTTTCTTCTTTCATTTAGACTATTGATATTTGAAATTCAAAATTAAAAAAGGGTACAGTAGATAGAAGTTTCTGCAGGGCACTTTTCCAGGGCATATGCATCTCACTACCACTTTAGTTAGGGAGAACAGTAATGACATAGATCATTGTCACCTGCCATGCTCTCAATCCACTTGGAAATAAATATTTGCTCCCAGTACTCATTCTTCCACATCCAAAAGAAATTTGATTTACATTTTCTTCTTAGATGGTATAATTCTTAGATTATAATGCTACATTGTGTAGAATAGTATACAAAGAATTTATCAATACAAATATTAAAACTTGTAAAATATATTTGTTTATTATGATCACAAATAATTTTTTTCATACCATTATTGAAGATGCCTTCGAGGTACTATTTTTGTTTTGATATGGTCTCAATTTTAAAGTAATACTCTTGAGAATAACTTACAAACTACCCTTATGTTAACCATGAGCCCACAATATTTAATAAAGATGACTGTGTATTGAATGAAATAAGCCAGGCTTAAAAAGACCAATATTGCATATTTTCCCTAATATGAGGAATCTGAAAAAAATTGACAAGAAGGTAGATGGGAGACTATTACTGGACAAGAAGAAGGGAGCAGGGAAAGGGATTTAGGGACAGGTAATGGGGGATGAATATTTTCAAAATATATTCAATATATTCACATTGACACCCCCCCCCCCAAGTGTGAAACTGAGGCATGGAGCAAAGGAAAGTGATGGGGGAAATTAATAAAATATGTTACATGTATATACAGATCTGGCAGAATGACACCCAGTAATCTGAACAACTAATATGAACTAATAAAACATGCATGAAAAGAAGAATATGACAGGAAATGGAAACCTTGATTCCATAAATATAAGAAGAGTTGTATTTATTGAGTCTTATCCATGGAATACTTCCACATTTCATGTATTATATTCTTTAGCAAGCTGTTTACTTCACCAGGTTATTCAATACAAAAGTTTGATATGTTAGTATACAGTTTGGTTCTATAATTTCTAGTATGTTTGATGATTTTGCAAAAGAATAATATTATGATCTACCATTTAAAAATTCTAAATTTTAAGCATTTTCAGTACATTTGAGATTTGGGACATCATAAATTACTTGAGAACATTAGGAGAAAGAAAAACTAAAAATCTTGGGTTTGGAAAATCAGCATAAGTTTGGACTTTTTCATTAGATTTTCATTATGAAATTATAAAGGACGATGTATCTCATCACTGTGACAAAATAACAAGTTGAGAAAATCAACTTACAGGGTATAATAAAAAATATGATGAATGCTGCTGCCAACTGCCATCAAACAGAATGGCAGGGATCTTCAAAACTAGAAGTAGTGCATCGAACCTTAGTAGTGACTAGTTTCAACTTGTTTGGTGCAGGCAGTCAGTTATTAGCCTCAGTTGAGAGAAGTTATGTTTAAAAGTGTGCCATAAAACATGGATCAGGATCGATGGCTTTCACTGAAGTTGTACAGTCATGTTGCTTCAGATTCCAGCTTCTTAAGAAGAGTCCTTGCAGGAGATGAAGCCTGGGTTTGTGGTTATGATCCTGAGACCAAGGTTCAGAGGTCTCAATGTAAATTATCCAGTTCTCCTCATAAAAAAAAAGTATGTCAGTCCAATTCAACATCGAGGTGATGTCTGTGTTTCTACCCTTGATGGAATTGTGCCAGCTGAACTGGTACCAAGGGACACTATATTGAGCTCTGAATATTACAAGGGCTTATTATAGTATTTAAAAATGATGTGCCTAGAAACTGGCTGAGAAATAGGCAAATGGTTTCACCCTCCATCATGACAGTGCTCCATGTTGCACATCACTGCTGGTTCAGCAATGTCTGTCAAATGAAAACATTAGAATGTGCCCTCATTCACCTTATTCACCAGATAGCACATCATGCAACTTCTGGCTCTCCCCCAAAGTTAAAATGAAAGGCCAACATTTTCAACCAATTTAGGACATTGAGGCAGCCACAACGGTGTAACTAAAGACACAAACAACTTTCACAACTGCTTCAGATGGTGGCAAGAATGATGGGATAAGTGTGTTTGATGTGAGGAGGAATATTCTGAGGGGGATTTAAAGGCAATGTGTCTTTTGCTGTAACATTTTAAAAAATTTAAACATTTATCATGGTTCTTGATCTTGTATAAGGAGAAATGTTTTATTTTGACTCATGGTTTTAGTCCAGCTTCCATTGTTTTGGGGCCTGTGAAAAAGCAGAATGTCATGGCTGAGAGGGGGTAGTAGAGCAAAGGTGCTCACCTAATCATGTCTAGGAAGAAAAAAAAAGAGAAAGGAAGGACCTGGGTTCCCAATATTCCCTTCAAGGGCACCCCCACAGTGTCCTAACTTTCTCCCAGCAGGCCCAGCCTCCTAAATATTCCACCACGTCCCAGTAGTGCCACAGTCAGTCTGGTGACCAAGCTTTTAGCATATGGACCTTTGTGGGTATTTAAGAACCAAACTATAACAGATGACTTAGAAATAGTCTATTAAATGGGAATGAATTATGTGAACCCCAAGACCATTAAATTAAAACTGTCTTTTTAGGCATGTTGTTATGTCATTAAAATAAATCATACGTAATTTTACATTTCCGTTCATAGAAACATACATTAAATCACTATAGAAATTATTCCTAGTAGTCATTAATTAAACTAATTTAGTATTTATTAGGTGCTTTAAAATATTTTTCTTTTATTAATAATCCAAGGCAGTATAAACTACATGGTACAGTTTTTCAACAGTTTTGTTGGGGTCCAATAATTAAAAGTATTCCTGTCATTCTTATAAGTAGTAAACATAACCCTTAACGTTAGAGTCAAAATAGGACCAAATGAGGCTGTCTAGTTTGCTGGTAGAAAGAGCACTATGTTAGAAGTTAAGAGACCTTTATTTAAGTTTATCAAATCATTTCCTTGCTTTAAAGCTGGACAGTACATAACTACTGAGTTCTCTCCAATCTCTTATGTCTTGTTTTTTATAAATAATGGATTCTAATTTACACATAAGGTAAGTAATTTATTTTTACCATTGCTCTCTTTTTTTCTCCAAGTTGCGAGACTTAACTGCTTCATTTATTTGTTCTTAAAGAATTGATTGTTTACACATTCAATTTTTTGATGATACCCATTTGAAAAAACCCATTCCAGAATGGATGGATTAAAAAATTCTAAAACCACACACACTGGCATCCAAAATAATCACTAAGGGATGCATTGGAAGGCCATGCAGATGATCTGTGCTTTCCTATTCCCTGTATTCACTACCTGAGTTTTGCTCTCTCAGACAAAACTTGGGGTGTAAACTGAGGGAGGAGGGAGAACTAATTTCTCTGCTAGAGCATAACACTGTTTACTTCTCTTCTCCTGCTATGAGCCAATTTATGGAGACAGTAGGGGAAAGAAAATCTGTGCCTAAAAGAGAAGACTCTAAATGTAATATACAAGAGAATTTCAGGAGTTGAGATTTGAATATTACAGATGAGAGTAATGTCATGTTTTTACTAGCTCTAGTTGTACTGAAATATCAAATGTTTTCCTTTCTGGTGAAAATGACTCAAAATTTTCTAACTGGTTGAGGCCTTTTTAGTTCATGTCTCATTGCCCTCATTTTATACATGGACATTTCATTTTATACCAAAGACATTTCAGAGACAACTCTGACTCAGGCACCCTGTTTTCTCCTAATGTAAGGGAATCACCTCCTTTGTGTCTGGAACAGGGGCATCACGGGGACCCTGACAGCCTTGGTCTTCATCGGATGGTGCAGCCTCTCGGCTTCCAAGATCTTCATTTCAGCCTTGGACATGAAAGGACAGCAGCTTCTCATTGCCTACCCTTGTGCCTTACTTTATGGACTTTTTGCCCTTCTAACAGTTTTCTAAACAGCATTTGAGATGGCTTTGCAAGATTCTATTTGTTTGCTGTTCAATTTATTCTGAAGTGTACTACCATTCAAATTTGTTGATATGGTTTCTGTTTTATTCCTGTTGAAAGAATAATAAGCAGAGAGACAAAACAATAGTTGCAGATGGTGCCATAATGGTCTGCTTACTTTGATTCATATTTTGCTTTTCAGTTTGGCACATTACAATATTTTTAAATATTTTCAAATAAAAAGGGATATACTTACTAAACTGATGAACATTGCTTTTCTCAATAAACGTACTTCTGGGAAATTATAAGTAAATGAAATCTTATGCTTACTGTTTAAAAGAAATCTACAGTAAGTCTCTTGAAAAACTTTTAAGAGTGCTCAAACTGTGGGGATGTGGTTAAAGATTTGCATATTCAGCCCTTTGAGAGATTTCATGACTGTGTCGTGTAGGGTTTTATTTCTACAGAGAATCAAAGTACTTCCTGTCTTTCCATTCACATACTTTAACAAGGTTTCTTTAGTCCCATTTAGATGTCATTTTCTCCTTACTTGGCTTAGGGCTGGGGCCTTCCTTAATCTCCTTTCCCTCTCACCACCTCTCTCCTCCCCCTCCATTTCTCGGTCCCCCTTCCTTTGCAAGAGTGTTCTTTTCACCACAGTGCACCAACCCAACTTTGGTCACTCTATCCTATTATCTTATACAGTAGGGGAATTATTTAAAACTCCCTGAAATTACATTATCTGAAATTACTTTATTTATTTGCTACTTTGCTTTCTCTCCTCCCCTCCTAAGATAAACATCCTGAGGCCAAAGCCAGAGCTCTTATCTACATACTACAATTTCTTGTTAAAAAAAATGGGAGATTAATGTATATTTACAAAGTGAAAGAATGAAAAAAATCAATAAATGAATGAGACAGGTATTGGTTATTGGTCACTGTAATGAATGTGACAACTGCAGCTGTGAATCTTTGGGTATGGGGAAAAATAGACAAAAAACAGTATATAAGCAGGATAATTACAAAAAATATGAAAATGCTAAGAGTGTGAAAAAAGTCAGAACTGCAGTATGCTTGATTTTTGTAGTTTAATAACCCATTAATGGCACTGTTAATTAAACATGGAATTTTCTTTTTTTTTAAATTTTCCTATTTGGAATGAGATGGTTCTCCTGACATCCTTTATGTAAAGAAGATGAAATATGAATGTCATTTATTGTAATTATTTCTCTACAAAATTATCATATTAATTAGAGATACACTGTACTATGTACCTAAAGTTTTACCTTTTGGAGTGGTACTTTGATTTAAAAATTTATAGGTAAAAATTGCTCTGAATTATGCATGAAAACAATCATACACAGAAAAAATTTGATATATTCTATAAAACATTGTAACATCTATATAAAAATCATGTAAAGAAAGTGTAGTGGTATCTTGGTTCACAAAATTAATTGGTTCCAGGATTCTGGGGTAGACAGCTACATTTGTGTTTCTCACCTGATGTGGAGTTTGCAAACAGAATTGTTTATAATCCAAGATATTACTGTATTAAATATTTCTGTAATAGTTAAAATAAGAATACATTCTATTTAATAACTTAATGACCAAATTGTGACATACCTAAGAATCAGTGTAGGAAATAAAAAATAGATGATTTACATAAAAATAAATTAAAATATTGGAAACATATTTTGAAAAGACTTGCCTATGGAGACAGATATACTATGTCCTTGGATAACAAGGTTAGACTTTACAGATCATCTCTCCTAAGTGAATGTGCATGTTTGATATAACTCCAAATAAAATCCAAAAATTATTTTTCTTGGGAGTTAATGCAATTCTAAATTAGTTTGTAAAAATAAGCAAATAATGAAAAATTGGAAACAGCCTAAAATTTATTCTATATGAAAATAAGTTAAATAAATTGTTGCTTATCTCTATGATTGAATGCTAATTAACTATAAAATATTTTGGAAGAATCAAGACATGAAGAAATGCATATATTTTCATTGTTTTGATAACTACTGAAAACTTACAATGGGCTGCCTCAAAGGCTGTACATATATTAATTCATCTAATTCTCAAAGTAATTTTATGGACTATTGGTACTATTGCTCCATTTTATAACTGAGGCTTCAGAGTTACAGAGAGCTCAATCACTTGCCCAGTTACTTAGCCAATAACTAGAATTTGGATCAGGAAAACTTGAATCCAGAACCCATAATCACTACATAACTCTGCTTGTTATTAAATAGTAAAATATTTTCTGTTTATTGTCTCAGATTTATTCTTTGTTGATCTTGTCCAGTACTAGACAATGGCCTTCACCTGCTAGCGAGACATAATACATTAATAAGGTAGAAGACAAATGCAGATGTCTGCCAGGATTAAAGTGGTGCCTGCAGAACTCCTGGACCCACTGCTAAAGCCTTGAGGAAATAAATGATGCAGATTCAAATCTGGTTATCATTTGCATAGAAAAACTTCACACAATATAGCTCTCTTCACCTATCAGAGAAAGAGTAGGCATGATACAGATTTGTGTAGAAGTATTTTCATACTAATTTTAAAATAAATTTTGAATTTTATGTAGCCTGTAAAATGTTTTATAGAACAAATGATAAAATGAATAAAAATACATTTGGAATATACAACCAGAAGTCAGTCTTTTTGGTTTAATAGACTATGGTAGGAATCTTTTTTTTTTTTTTTTTTGGTTTAATAGACCCCATCAAAGTTTTCCCCATATTATTTTCCTCAAATGCTTTCGATTTCTTTTATCTGTGAATGTAACATGTTTTCACTTTCCTGTCTTTACTGGTTGAATAAAAGTTACACATTATGTGCAAAGGTAAATGGTACATTTGGAGTCAAGAGACAGCCTTCATTTCGACAGGAATGATTGGGGACAGGTGCTGAAAATAAAAGTCCTGAATAACTCAGCCTTGAGTGCCCCAGTTCACAACAGTTTAACTAGGGCAGTGGCCTTTGCAACAATTGATGACAGACGTTTTTCCACTCTGCTCTGTCTCCAAGTGAAGAATGCCAACTGTAAAATCACATTGACAATGTTCTGTTCCTCTTTTTCTTAAAGCACTGTAAGTTCTACTCTGTTTTTGCACTACAATCACAGGCCTATAGATTTCTAAATCAGTTTTCATTTGTAAGTGGGAGTCTGTAATGGTATTTTTTAAAGTTTCAAAAACCAACTAGGCTGTCAGAGGATTTGCGATGATGGTGACCAAAGATCTATTTGGAAAAAAGAGAGAGAGATTTGTTTCCTAAGGGCAGGATTCAAGGGCTTTTGCATTCCTGATAAACCAGACAGAGTGGTTTATTATGAACAAAGACCTTGACACATACTAGAAGGAGGAAAGGAAGCAGTGAAGAAAAGGAAGGAAAGAAGAAATAATCAATCCTAGTTCCTAACCTGGCTCTGCATGTAAAATGTAAACAGCTTGACACCTCTGAGACCACTGCATAACTTTCTGAATCTCATTTTCTTCACATGGAAAATGAAGTGAGTGATGGAGAGTTTGCAAGGCCAAATATGAAGGCTAAATAAGATTCTACATACAAATTCCCTTGCCCAGTGCCCTGGCATGTAGTAATTACTCAGTAAATGGAAACTCACCACAGCTCTAATAGTACCTTTGGGATGAGATTTTAGGAGAGGCTATTTGCTTTTCTATAATATCAAGAATAAAAGTACTGGTAAAAGATGAGGACTTTAATTTTTACTCATTATTTAGTGGAAAACAATTATTTTGACATGATAGTACAACTGGTTAGGGAAATCTCATGTCAAGGCCAGCCAGACCTTTCTAAAGTATTATTAGAAAATTAATATGAGTTTATAAATTTGAAAGAAAGGTCTTTGTTGAAGTTTCATTGGTTGGACACCAAGTATCTTCCTATATTGGAAGAATTCCACAAATCCCAAAGCAAGTAGTTCTACCTTCTCTCTGATCTAGTGGCATGTGAATTAGGATCAGTCAATTTGATAACTTTGTTCAGCAGCTGCAATCCTGACAAAGTGATCCAAGAGCAAAGGGGCACTCAGAAATACTTGTGGAATCAGAAAATCAAATTTTAGCCACCATGGTATCTATTCATATGTGGTTAGGTTTATATTTGCCAGAGTGGTAAATATATCACTTTGACTGGCAAGACCTGTGCTACCTAGTCTTTTTTGGATTATGCTCTTCACCCAAACTTGGCATCTCACTTTAAAGTTGATTCTATGTTGTACCATCTATTCTCTGATTTATCTTCTGCTCTTTTAATATGCATAAGTCCTATTTCTTCTTGCATTAACTAGAAACAATACATATGCTCTTGGTAAATTAGTGAACATTTAGTAGTCTTGATATAAGCAAAATTTTGGAGTAAAAGTTAGGTGATATAGAATAGAAGATTGAAATAAGGATCAGATTTTGGACTGTTTAAGAAGACATAGGCATTTTATATTATGTGGCATCCATATGCAGAATATTTAGCATCTACAGCATTGTCAGACAAAACAACACAAAAATGGCACTTGACACTAATTTGGGGAGAGATTTTTTTTTAAAAACTAAAGTATAATTTTTTAAACTAAAGTATAATTTTCAGATCCTGAGGATAGACTGAGAAAACTGGGGTTTTTTTTCCTGTCTTCCCAGAACAGCTTCTGAGACTATTTAAAGACTGAATTTGATTGTGTATACAGAGAGTTGAGCCATGCTAGAAAAAAAGCAGCATGTAAGGAATAGCATGTTTAATATTTCATAGAGGTAGAACCCTGTACAAGAGCAGAGGAGTGGCCAAGAATACCATCTAAAGCTTGAGAAGTCCTAGATACCTCCCACTAACCAAATGAAAGGGCACATGGAGCTTCAATCACTGCCTGTCACTTGCTGCAGTGAGATCATCATGTAAAGGCATTGCAATCTATCTTGCCTTTTAAAATGTGCAAACTGGAGGATTCGTCCTTATTTAATAAAAAGTATGAGCCTTGTAGATAAACAGCATATTTTATTGAACAGACAGGAGCAAGAGAAACCAGTACAACAAGTACAATCAAGGTTGCTCTGTGTCAAAAGTGTATTAGGGAAACTTAGAGAATTCTTTCAGATTATGGGATTTGTAGAGGTCCCCAAATGCCATTTAGTATTTCTGTGATATTCTTCATTTGCTCAGGGAGTTTGCTAGATCATGTTCCAAAAATATATAGAATAAGTAATACTATTTTTATTCCTAACATTCTTTTTATAAACACTGATTACAAAAGCATTTATTTCATATATATTAGGGTATAACCCTAGGCTAGTCTCTCTAATGAATCATAGAACCTGGTATAATGCTTTATATACATACAACATATTCCCTATTTATCTGCCCCAGGTCATGGCTACTATTAAGAAACACTGCTTGATTAAAACAATAAATCAGAAATGTAAATAAGTCCTCTCTGATAAATGATGCATGTTAATGCCAACTTGATCTCATTAGAAATCCACTTCCAGCAAGATTTTCCAAGTTCAGTTCCTTTCAGCATAAACTCTTTTCAATAAACCCCTCATCATTTATAAACTCAGACAAAATAGACCTTTTACACAGGCATTAGTATTTGCTTAAACATTCCATTTTCCATTTTCTCGTTATTCACAATAACAAGGAACTCTACTTACAAATCTTCTCATTCATCCATAGCTTGAACTAATCTTGAGAATATTTCCATTAACTTGAGCAGCATGAACTCATCCAGAGCATTTTCAAATGTTCATCAGACATCCTGAGTCATGCACGGTTTCACAGTACTTCAGAGCTAGCAGCCATTTGGTTGTGAAAAACTCCTAAGAGACCCAGTGCTCCCAATACCTGGCCCAAGTCTCATCTTTCCCTGAACCAGTAAAATTTGTTTTAGACTCTTCCACTCTTTCGACTTTTTATTTCCTTCCATAGGTAGAAGGAGAAAAAACATTATGAATGTATGTAACAGATACGAAGGAAGGATCTAAACAATTATTACAGAGTGGGCATGTATTGTTTAAGTTTTTATGTAGATTGTCTCAAGGATTGGGACATTCTACTAAGGAAATATCTGAAGTAAGAAAATACAATGTGTTCACATGGCATCAATTGCTGTAATTGAAATGCCTAATTATTTGGCTACATCTTCAACAGAGTTTTGACTGTATCTGCATGTAGTTTAAGTCTCTGGAGAATACTGTCTGCATCAATTTTCTAGGATATCATGACAAGTGTCACAGACTAGATGGCTTATCAACAGAAATTTATTGTCTCATAGTTCTGCAGGCTGTAAGTTCCAGAACAAAGTGTTACCAGGTGTGTTTTCTCCTGTGCCCTTTATGGTTGGCTTGTAGGTCGCCATCTTCCTGCTGTGTCCTCACATACTCTTTCCTCTGTCTATGTGACTGCATCCTCATTGCCTGTTCTTGTAAGGCCATCAATCAGATTAGGTCTGCCTGTATGGCCTCCTTCATTTACCTGAATTACTTCTTTAAAGGTCCTATCCCCAAATGCAGTCATATTCTGGGTTGCTGGCATTTAGGACTTGAACTTGTAAATTCTGGAGTGGGAGGAGGACACAATCTAACCCATAGTATTATCCATGTCTAGGAAATTATGTATATTACACCCTCAGTGAAAGAAGACTAAAGCCAAAGTTGAGGCTTGTTCTGTTGTATTACCTATCTATCCAAGTAACTTTCTAATTTATTCTTCAGCTTGCTAACAACTTCTTATATCCTTCACGATCCACCTCCCACCCATCGACTTTATGCTGATAGAGCTACTGCCATCAAGGCTTTCCCTCTCTGCACACAAGTGCCACAACCGTTCTTGAACTGCTACTTGTGCCTGGCTTGACCAATAACAAAGGAGGAATGACACCATGCCACTTCTGAACCTAACCTTTAAGGGAGCTGAGTGCTTTTGCTTTATGGCTCTGGAAGCCATTGAACCACTGTATGGGAAGCTGGGGTTGCTCTTCTGGAAAAAGATGCCACACAGAGGAGCACAGATGCTATGAACATTAGCAGAGAAGACAATGCTATCCTGAACAGGTCATCTCTGCATTGAGAGTATGTTGATGGGAATTCTGAATAGAGAAGCAATCTCTCCTTTACCCTTCTCTCTCTGTGTCACAGCTACTTCTATGCAAATTGGGCATCACTCAGTTCCCTGACTTATTTTACCACTTTGAGGATAGATGGATTACCATAACTTCAGAGTAATCTATGCTAGCTCAGTATAGACTAGGCAGGGAAAGCAATCCCTTCTTCTTACCTTATCCAAGAGGTTAGCTGGCTTTGTTCAAAGGGAATTCCAAAGCTTTAAATAATTTAATAAAATTAATGTATTTTTAGGACAAATGTACTTTTAACATAAAACCAATTTCTCATAATATAAAATCTATGCAGTAGAGCAAGCATCATGAACTGGTTCTCTAGTATTCTCAAACCTGAAATGCCTGTTGAGGTGCAGTTGATGCTGTCAACATTTCTTGTATGATTTTAATAAGAATAAAATTAAAAGCACGCTTCTCTGTATGGCCAGTCATTAACCACAGTAAAGATAGCTGGGAAGTAAATTAACGGATACTACTCTACAACCCCCTTGCCTTCAAAAGCTAAGTAATCATAAAGGT